ATTTTAGTGAGGCTACCAATTATCAGCCAACCACATGCTTTGTGATCATGAGAATTTGCTGCATGTCTCTCAGAAAAACATACAGAAGTATCTCCTGCTCATTTCCCTACAGTGATGCCTCCTTTGACTTCTTGCTATCAACTCTGAACTCTTAAAAGGCAAGCACTCTATAAAACACCAGCTAAAATAAAGTGGGTATTGTGAGCTCAGAACAAAGTGCCTACTCAGATCTTTGAAACAAGCTGCATTTATCTGCATGCCATTAAAGGCCCAGATTCTTTTCCCCTTAGAATGCCAATTATCAGAATATCTCAAGGCAAAATATGAGTGCTAGTTTTGTGCAGATTGGCAAAAGGAGGTAAGAATCAGCTTCAGGTACATAGTAAAAAAAAAAAAATCAGCACAAATTCATTATTTTCCATTAATCATTTTTTCTCCTTTAAATAACGTATGCCTTAGGGAAATTCTGATTATCTGCTTAAGTAACGATGAGATGGCTTGATTTGCCTTGGCACGTGCATTACTTTTCATTTCTCTGTCATAAGTTAAACTAAAGAAATTTGGAAATCCTGTACTCTCCAGTCTAATGAATGAAATACATAATCAGAAAGGGCATGAGTTTTACAAATAAATAAAAATAGGATTTCTATGTGGTATCTAAAGGAAGCCCAATTTGCTCTCAAATTGCATTGGTCAAAGGACACACAACCTGGTTCTCAATGTAGCTATTAAGAATTGTCAGTGTGTTCAAGAGTTCCTCAGGCAGTCCACATGGCACTGCAGCCTTTACAGTACACTTATACAACTATCTTGTGCCTGACAGGCATACTTCACAAGCAGATTGTGTGGGCTACCTGGGGTGTGGTAGTGATTTGGTAACATTAATGGAGGAGAAGGAGGACCAATCTTTGCAATTCTAGTTTGGAAGAAGTGTGTTTTTAAAAAAAGTGGAGCTGGGCAGTGGTAGGATTCAAATAATTTAACAACTGGTTCTCTGCCCTGATGATTTCTTCCAACAACCAGTTCACCAAACTCTTCAGAAAGTTAACAACCGGTTCTCCCGAAGTGGTGCAAACTGGCTGAATCCTACCACTGGAGCTGGGGGAAAAAAACTTGATGCAAAAGCTATGGGGTTGAGTGTTGTGTTAGTGGATCCAAACAGTGGAGAATTCTTTGAGTGAGAGAGATGTTTCCCTGCCCTCTTAAGAGTGAGCTTGTCTACTCCCCAAGAAATCATAGACCTACCACCCTACTGGCAGCTTTTATCTTATATCTAACCTCTATTTGAGGAGGGGGGAATTATTGAAAAAGCAGTTGCAAAGTACCTTCAAAGAACTCTGAATGAAGCAAACCATCTGAACACCTTTCAGTCAGGATTCAGAAGTAGGTATGGATGCAAGATTGGCCATGCTTTTGAATGATCTTTGGCAGGAGCAGGAAGGGGTTGGGCATCCAGCCTTGCCTTAATTTCTCTGCAGCTTGCGATACCATTAACCTATCCTGGATCAGCTCTGGAGACGTAGGGGAGGCAATATTGAGCTAGTTTGCTTCCTTTTCTCGGGGTCAGTTCCAAACAGTGGTGATTGACAGATTAACACAGAGAGATCCTGCCCTTGGTCCCTACTTTGTGTGGTTTCTGAAGGTTCAATTATCTTCCCCCTCTTATTTAACATCTATGAACAGGGATTGCCAACCTTTTGGACCTCAAGGACCACCAAACTCATAATTTTAAATCCCACGGACCAGAAACCCTGGGAAAATCCCCCCAAAAGTCTGCAGGAAAATTCCCCACCTCATTTTCCTACCAATCGAACATTCTTTATTTGGGATTGCAGGATACTGTCTCCAGCTCCATTCTCAAGGGAGGGGAGGGGAGAGAAACTTTTGGCTTCATGCAAGGACAGCAGCAGAAGCAGCAGAAGTCTTTCTTTCTCTCCCCCAAACTCTGCCAGAATGAGTCTTTGTGAGACTTGTCATGCCGGCATAGCCTCTTGGAGCAGGATGCCTTGCAGGATCCCAAAGACTCATTTCTGGTGGAGTTTGGGGGAGGGGAGAGAAAAAAAAAGACTTTTGCTGCTTTCCTTGCATGCAGCCAAAAGCAGAAGAAGGGAAAGAAGCAGCCAGGGGGTCAGGTGAGGCACGGGGGGCAAATGGGGCAAGTTCACCCCCTCCATTCTTTCCCCTCTCCCCTCAATACTTCATGTTGTGCGCAATGCAAGCCTTGTGTTCCTGCACAGCCTGGATTAATTGCTTTGGGGGCTGCTTTCTCTGCGGACCACTAAAATTTTCTCATGGACCACCAGTGGTCCCTGGCCCACTGGTTGGCAACCACTGTGCGTGAAGCTGCTGACTGAGATGATTTGTCTCCATAGGGTGAGTTATCGTCAATACACTAAAGATACCCAGTCTCTCTGCCCCTGGCAAATTAAGTGATGCTGTTTGTATCCTATCTTGGTATTGGGAGGCTGTGGAGGCCTGGATGGGGAAAAATAAGCTTCAGTTAAACCCTGACAAGACTGAATGGCTTGGATCTTGAGGCCTTCTGGTTCAGAGACTACCCCTTCTTTAGTTCTGGATGTGATTGCACTGCTTCAAAACAGATCTGATATGCAGCTTCGGGTGATCCTCACATGGTGGTCATAGTTAAGAAAGCTTTTGCACAGCTTTATATTGTGTGCCAGTTGCACCCCTCCTGTTATGCTCAGAACCACTCATACCCTGGTCACCATTTAGATTGCCTGTTGTAATGCTTTCTACATGGGGCTGCACTTTAAGTGTCCAGAAGCTTTAGCTGGCGCAAAATTCAGCAACACAGGTAGTTTATGTGTACCCCTACAATGGCACATATCATACCTTTGCTCTGTGAGCTGCATTGGTTGCTAGTTTGCTTCTTGGTCCAATTCCAGATGCTGGTATTGATCTTCAAAACTCTTCATGGCACGTGCTGAATTATTTGAGGGATACCTGCGCCTGATTATATCTGCCCATTCCATCATTTCCAGCAATGGAGGTATGTTGTGGGTATGTCTACAAAACAGTTTCATCTAGAGGGACCCAGAATATCGGCCTTGTCTGCCTTGGCACCTGCCTTGTGGAATAACATTCCCTCCATGATGCAATTTGTCCATCTTTGTTATCTTTCCAGAAGGCCCTCAAGACATGGCTGCATCAAAAGGCTTGGAGATCTGACAGTAGTGTAATAAGATGGCTGCATTTTTTTAACATCTATTTTTCTCTACTGCCTTGCTTTTAATATGTATATGGATTTTTAAGTAAACTTGTTTCAATATTTTGATTTTATGATTTTTATTATGCACTACCTAGAGTCACTTTTCCATGAGATCGGTGGCAATACAAATATGACAAATAAATATGGGAGAGTTACAGTCAGTCAACCACCTGTTCAATAATTCCTCCAAAATGCTTGAACAAACTGTGGAAAAGAAACACAAATCCAGAAGAATAAAACCCCAATATTAAAGAAGGCACAGCATTGGAAGTCCAGGGTTGTTTCAAATATGGGAACCGCAGTAGTCGGGTTTTTTAAAAAAAAGTTTCTAAAGAGCGTCTCTTTAATACTTTTAACTAAGTTGTCTTTGAACAGCGGAGGGAAACCAGCTTTAGGGGTTCCATCATCTTTCGCACTGAATCTGCAGATAAGATACTGCACTATAGGGTCTGCCCCTCGCGTTGGTATTTGAGTGACAGCTGCCAGGGATATTATGAACCGACCCCGTTGTCGCTTTTGGTGCTTCACGTGCCTTTTCGGTGTGTGGTGGGGAAGAGTCCAAAAAAGCCACACCCTAGCGGAGTAATGCTTCGCTCCCCCCCCCTCCCCCGTAAGTTCTGCGTGCTTGCTGTGTTCCTTGCTGGGGGATAAAGATAGAGGCGCTGCCCCTTTAAATAGTTCAGGGTGTTCTCTCTCAGGCCACCATGACATATCTGGGCGTTGGAACGGGGGCCGAATAAACCGAGTAAGCACGAGATCTGCGCTAGCAGTAAAGGGATTGCAAACAGCTGGGGCTCGTCCCATTCGCTGATATATCCCGGAGTGGTTTGCGACGGCTTTGGTTAGGCGGGACTCGGTTCCTGGAGTTTAAACCACTGGGTACTCTTGTTTTAGGGAATACTGCAAAGGAAGCGCGCGGTTTTTCAGCCTTGGTAAGTTATTATTATCTTTACGCAGGTCTAGGGTAGACTTTTCTACAGGTTCGCTTCTCGGGAGACTTAGGGAGTCGGAAGTTTTTCGGGATATCACACAATCCTGAAACACCTGTGTGTTTTTTTCTAATCCAGATCAGTCTCTCAGTCTCTTATTTGGGATTGGGGGAGGGGGCTGCAGCACAGAAACTCGCTGGACAGTTATCAATGGCTTGGTCCCGCCCCGTTTCTATACAGTACCAGCGCTGTTCGAAAGTCTTCGAGAGAGAGAAAAAGGACTCTTGCACAAGGAAATTAGTCTCAGGCGGACAACTTCATATGAGAGTTTGCGAGGGAGGTGCGCCGCCCGCAGACCTCCCGGTTCTGGGCCAGGGGAAGCCAGAACGTGGGAGGGGAAGAGAGCGGTTTGAAAGCCTCGTGGGTGGTGGAAGGCATCACCCACGATAAGGAATCAAGGACTATTACCTGTGGGACAAGGGAAGTAATCTTACAAGTTCCCGCTGGAGTTGCTAAGAGGGTACTCTGTGTGTCAAGCGAATGTGTGAAGTAGGCGCACTATAGGCAACCAGCGCTTCTGGGAAACGTGGTGTGATGTGCATTCTCTGCAATCCTTGGCGCCTCTGTGCTCCGAAATAACTCGCCACCAAGCTCAGAGAAGGCGTCTTTGCGCATCCTTCCGAAGGCTTCTTATGATCCCCTCCAGATTTCCCTCGGCGGCGAGGATAATGGAAATCAGAGGGTGTTCTCTTTTAACGGGGCGGGGAAGAATCGCTTTCGGGGGACCAGATGGGGAAGGAAAGGGAGTTTGCTGGGACTGAAGTGAGGAATATCCGTCATGGAAAGGTGGCACCTGCGCTGATGAGGCGCGCGTAGCTCTCTATACGTGACTCGCCTGTTATTCCCTCTCCCGAATTAAGACGGGGCTCATAAAAAGGGAGAGTTTGTTGGAGTTGCAAGAGAAATACAAGTTTCGCGGAAAGCTCGTTCTCCTCCGGTCAGTTGCAGGCGCCGCAAGCACCCGAGAGCCGCTGCATTAAAGAAGGGCCCGGCAACTCATCCCCTTCTCCTCGAGAAAGTATTTATAGCTGGGGCACAGCCAGCTTGCAGGTTTGCCTGGCCGTCGGCGTGCTACACATACACAGCCCGCTAGGCGCCCCACCGTGATTGGGGCGTTGTTCCTCTAGAAGGCGAAACGTTTTTAAGTTCACGCCCCTCGTCTTCGGCGAGAAAAAACGCGGGCAGCCACTTTCTCGGACTTTCCTCTTTTGGGGGTTCCCTTTTTTTTCCCCCACACCCCCCCGGTGGTAAAGAGCGAGCGGCAGAAAAACACCCGGCAGAAATTAAAACGAATTGCAGCGGAGTAAGTAGGCCGCTTCATTTCCAACTCCATTCTTCTTGTGGGACGGGGAATTGACACGCAAACTCAATTCTGGGTGGAGGAGGAGGGGGTGGGTGGGTCTGTTCTAAATCTCCCTCCTTGCCCCGGCACTTTTATTGTACGAAAAGCGCAAATCCACGTCTGCCATTACTCCTCCCTGAATCTTAAACGGGCTAAGTTGCGCAATCATTGGGAGAGGTGGGGAGCGGGAAAGACCCTTTTCAGCTTATCCGGACCTCGGCAGACAAGTTTGGTTCTGGTTCGGGATTTTTCAGATCTTAATATAAATTCCCGTTTGAAAACTAGCCGCTCTAAATAATGCCGGCCCTGATATAATTAGAAACGGGTTGAAATATTTGAGCACGTAAATCTCTCCACCCCCCCTCCTTTCCCGCTGCCTGGAATTCAGTTCCTCCTTGCAGTCCATTGGTAGATTGAAGTGTGGTGTGTGTTTGCGGGGTTGCGGTAGTGGTTTCCCTTTTTCCTAGTTTGTATTAAATACAGGGAGAGGTTTTTCCCACCTAGATCAAGTTCATAAGGTTCTCAAGCTCCCCCACCCCACAACCAATTTTCTTGAGTTCACAAAACCCCACTCAGTTGTTGCTTTTTTTAACTTTTAGGATTTTATCCGGTTCTCCCTCCCTTATTCTATCCTGCCCAATACTATATAAGCTTGAAAAATATCTCTCCCCACCCTCTCCTGATAATTGTCAGGTTTATTTCATCATCTGTAGCTGGACTGTGAATTTGAGGGATTGGTGGTTTATTGGTTTGCAGATGCTGATGATTTAAAGGAGAATGGTGACTTTGTGGCAAGTTTCCATTCCCTTCCTCCTAAAGTACCTCAGCCAATCTCCGAGGTCTAGTCCAAGCGTGGCACTGTTTTCCCACTTTTAGACTTTTCTCCCTTTGACACGATTCGAGTTGCACCCTCAGAAAAGAGATTTTTGTCTGCTGGCTCTTTTTAGAGGAGAGCTCTCCTGTAGGCTGAAGAGAAACTTTGAGGAACGTGATGGCATTTAGGCTCAGCAAACCAGGTGTCACCATAACTTTTCCAAATCTGGAAAGAAGAAAAAAGGGAATCAAATTCAGGGACGGAAAGTTTGTGTGTATTTTATGGATTGTTTGATAGTGAATGTGGCATCCTTTTTCTTGCAGTTTCTGCAAGTGTTAGTTACCATGTGGTTGCAGTGAAAGTCCTCAAACCCCCTCCTCCAAAATTTGAATTATTTCAAATCTTAGCCTGTACTGCTCCAAACAATCACATTCAGACACACAGAATTAATGCTGTTTGTTTTATACTTAAAGCTCCTAGTTAAGAAGTTGGAAACTCTCCCACTTTCATGCATATTCTTAGCTTCATTCTGCATAAAACAAAAACACATTTGGTGAATTTCTTTAAGTGATCAAACAGAGAGGAGCGCCTTAAAACATTGCTATGTTCTGTCTCAGAGGCACCCTCTGCTGTTCATTTTTTAAATTCAGGTTTGCCTAACGGTTAACCTCATCCATGAGTAAACATTTTCACCTCTGCTTAAAAGGTATTTTCCCCCTTTCCAGATCTACTGAACACTTTTGCCAAAATGCTCCTTTTGTTGTTGGGAATCATTGTGCTCCATATCTCGGTGCTTGTTCTTCTCTTCGTTTCTACAATTGTCAGTGTAAGTAAACTATCCTGCCTGTTTTTATTGCCTGCACCTAGTGCTCCATTGTGCAATTAATTCACAGCTTCTTTATGAGATATATCCGCCCCATCTATTAAAATAGATTAAAACCTACCTGTTTATTCTAAATTTAATGTGAAATTATATTGCAAACACAACAGAGTTATTGATATTCTCATAACTTTTGCTATGCTAACTGTAGTATTTATATGTATTGGAGAATATAATAGCCTTTGGGGGAATCTGTTAGCTAAATTAAATACACCAACATTTTAAGCATAGAGGCCAATTAAATGTGGGTCTGTCTCTACACTGGGAATGATTCAGGAAAAATTTCCTCTTACTGAGTAACCACAGAAAAATTTCCAGACTATTGAAAGTGGCTAAGAGCCACAATTTTATGTTTTTTTTTTTAAAGGGATAGCAACTAGTGGCCTTCCAACTGTTACTTGAATGACAATTTCCAGCAGTTCCAGTTTCCATGGCCGATGCTGGGGTAGTTGTTGAGCACCATCTGGAGGAACTAGATTTTCTAGTCCTGGCACTGCAGATGTGCCAATTCTCCAAGATAGCTGATTGTGTTAGCTGCCATGTGTTTTATTGGTATTCTGCTCCAGAATAATTATCTGTGCTCTGTCATTGGGAAAAGAAGATTGAAGAGAATAAAATTTCCTCCCATGAAATTTGGCAAAGCTTTGAAAAAAAAAATGAGATATTTTATTTTGGCTTTTTGCCTTTCTTTTGAAGGCTCTTTGTAACACGGTCAAAGGAATCAAAGCACAAAGAAAGGTCTTCTCTCAGCTAATGTAAAGAAGGATGTGTATTTCTACACTCACTGTTGAAAAGAAGCCTTTGCTGATGCATTAATCTTAAAGAGGGTCTTTTAATTGCTTTCATTCCTTAAGCCAGGGGTGTCAAACCTGTGTTGTCATGGTGGCATCACATGATGTATCGTGACTTTTCCCCCCTTTGCTAAACCGGGCGTGGCCAGTGCTTGATGCATCCGACCCTGTGGGCTACGAGTTTGACAGGCCTGCCTTAAGCAGTCTTGACTGGCTTAACTACTTTAACTTGGAAGGCAACATTTAAGTTCTACCCCCTTCCAAACTCTTCATCAACTGTTCCAAACTGATAAACCATTCATTCTTTTTCAGCAATGGCTCGTTGGGAACGGACACAGGGCAGACCTTTGGCTGAACTGCACCATTCCTATGTCTCCATTTCGTTGCACAACTTCATCCACAAATGGTGAGATTTTTCATGAGCGTGGCTTTCTTTTAAAATATGTCTCTTTCATCTCTTTTTTTTACTCCAGTATTACATTTGAAACAGTGTGACCTACTAATACTGGAAGCAGTTTAGACAGGATTTCACGATTTACCTCCATTTCTGCTCGAATGTGTACCCTGTTTCCCCATCATCTTGCCAGGCTTTTAGACAACCTTGGCTCATTAATGCTATCTAGATATTTAGCTCCATTTCTGAATGAATATATAATTTGCATTGTTCCTTCCCATTTTGTACTAAATTGATTGTCAGACGTCTATTAAAGAAATGGGTGCTCATCGTATGTTACTTGGTTTGTCCATCAAACCATTCTGCATGAAGTGAGTGGTTAATCTAGTAATGGTTGATTTTTAATACCTTATGTGTAGAATATTGACTCTGTCCTGCTTCCTTAATCTAGCCACAAAACTGGATATTTCTTTAACCTTTGGAATATGCAACAGTGAATCAATACAGTAACACCTATATATAAGCCCAGCCTACATATTACCTTATGTTATGCTACACCATGGTTTTTAATCTATGAATAGATATTTGTAGGCAGAGATATTCCATAGGCAGTAGTGTTATACACATGAATAAATGTTAGGGTCACTAAGGCTGCAATCCTATGCTTGCTTATTGAAAGGTAAATACTACAAAAAATGGGACTTTTGAATCAATGTGTAAGATGTACTAAATAAAGATAAAACTGGGCCTGCATTAAGGAAAATCATGTATGAGTTTTCTTTTAGGTTGGTCTTTGATTGTTTGACTAAATCTTTGTTAAAATTCCTGTATATAATTTGTTAATATCTGTTGCTGCAGCTTATGGATTCCCTTCTTCTGTCATCAGCCTCAGTGTTTTGGTCATAGGTCCTTGTCAGGCCTTTTACTTTGAAAATTCATCTTCTGTGTAGCTAGGAAGTCCTTTGATTTTGTCTTGTTTTTTGGGTGGTCCCATTTTGCTTCCCAATCAAGAGCATGGCTTATTTTCCATAAGACCCTGTCATGAGTTTTCTAAGGGTATTTGAAAGGGCTCACATTCAGTGTGAACCACTGAATTAAGTGGACATGTGGTTTTGGCCAACAAACTGCTTGCATTTTGTAAGTTGCAACTGTGTGATGTTGGATAATCAATCAATCAGAATACAGCTGGAAGGGATCTTTGATGTCTTCTGGTCCAATCCCCTGCTCAAACAGAAGACCCTATTCCATTTTACAAATGACTGTCTAGTCTCTTCTTAAAAACCTCAGTGATGAAGCACCTAGAACTTCTGGAGGGAGGCTGTTCCACTGGTTAATTGTCCTCACTGTTAGGAAGTTTCCAGGTTCCTTAATTCCAGGTTGCTTCTTTCCTTGATTAGTTTCCGTCCATTGTTTCTTTTCCTGCTCTCTGGTACTTGGAAAGTTAGTCAAACCTCCTCCCCTTTTGTGGTAGCCTCTCAAATACTGGAATACTGCTATCATGTCCCCACTACTTCTTTTCTTTAAATTAGCCAAATCCAAATCCTACAATGGTTCTTTATATATTTTTGTCTCCAGATCTTTAATCAGTTGTTCTTCTTTGTACTTTTTCCAAAGTCTCAACACATTTTTTGTAATGTGGTGACCAAAACTGGATGCAATATTCTGGGTGTGGTCTTACTAAGGCTTTATAAAGTGGTACTAATACTTCACATTATTTTTATTCTATGCCTCTTGTTTATATAACCAAGGATTGTATTAGCTTCTTTGGCTGCTTGCCGCCTATTGCTGACTCATATTTAAGTGATCATTCACCTAGCACTCCAAGATCCTGCTCATAAGTTACTATTTTTGAGCCAGATTTCATCTAATCTGTACTTGTACCTTTGGTTTTTCCTGCCTGAGTGTAAAAGTGCTTTTCTCTATGTTAAATTAAAAAGTATTGATTACATAAAATAAAAGCATTATTACATCCCCCCCATAGCATTTTAAACCTAGGATTATTATGGTAACAGCTTTTCTCAAAAAGAAATAACACTCCAATCTGAATCCTTTTTTATTTGCTCTGTACAGATAATTCATTGCCTATAGATGGTTATTCTCTCAACAGCTATATACTCTATCCAGCGTCATATATGACATTTCTTGGCCACTATGCCACTTAGTTCTTGGATATTGTTGACAAAAATGTTTCAGTGTTTCTCACTTAGAATATTCTTTCAGTTTCCTCTCAGGGAGCATCAAATTCTTTGTTGCAAATTTGAGGTGAGACGTAGTTATTTGGATCTCTGAATTGCTGCTTTGGGTAGATGCTTTTTTGTTTTTCATTGTATTCAGAGTAGTTTCAGCCGAAGTTATCACCACTGGGAGAGGAGGAGTTGGAGGAACACTTATCTTTTTTGATGTTCTGTTTTTCTAATTAGAAAAACTGTCTTCTCAATTACACAACCCCAAGAGGAAAGGAAATAAATACTTCTAAGTCTCCCCCATAGGATAAATAGACTTTTTGATGATAAAAAGGAAAAGTGTTCCCCCCCCACTGCCCACATTACAGTCACCAAGTGTAGATTGATATTTCTTGCAAATGTTTTTTTTTAAATAATCCCTCTGGGACAATATTCAGGGAGGTGAATTGTAAGCAGTTTGATCTATGCTAATTTGTTCTCTGTTCAAAAGAAATACTGAATTGCAACAGTATACTAGAATGAAACCATAATGTTTCCTTCCTTTGAAGATGCAGAAACTTTCTTTACATACATTTTTAAACTCTGAGCCTGTGAAAATATTTGGAAATGAATTAATTGTTTTGAATGTATCCCATGCTTATTATTTTTTCTGTTCCTGAAACTCCAAGTCATGCAAGCAGGAAAAATAGAAACTGCTACAACTTTGGCTACTTTTAGTACATTTTTACAGGAGCTGGGGACATCAGATAAGGTCTACCCTAACCAATTGGAGCAATTGTGAGGGATCATGTGACTTTAGATCTAAATTGTGGAAGTTGAAATGTATTAGAATTTCTCCCTGAGGTCATTAGCCTAAAATTCCTTTAAGATAATACTAGACATCAAAAACAAAAGTTCAAGATTGGATATTAAAAACTGCTGGATTATGAAAGAGAGGTAAAATTGCAGACAAAATAATGGTGTTCCATCTTTTGCTTCTATTTCAGTTTCCCCTAGTCTTTTGCCCACTTGCTGAATTGGACTAGAATTATGAGATAAATTGATGAAAGGAGTTCAAAAAGCATTTGTAGCTTGGACATGGAGCCCCACATGCAGGAAAATTCAGCCAAGTTCTTAGTATAAAGTGTTTTGGAATTGTGATAATTCTCAGAAGATAACTATGCATCATCTTACAACCAAGTAATGTTCACATTTAATAGCCTCTCCCAGCTTGTTGTATTGGACTTCAATTCAATAGTGCTTCTACAATATGAACATTGATCTTGTTGGCTGCTTATTCTGAGAAGAGCTGATCTGATGCATCACTAGGACACAGCACTGGAGAAAGCTGCTGTGTAAGACAATAATTTAGTATTTTACAATGATACAGTGGGGCAAAAACTCAAGATTGTATAGTCTATTTTTGTTTGTTTTTATACCGCATTACTATATCCTACTGCAATGATATACAAACTCATTGATTCACGGTATAAATTAAAAATGACAGTAACAATGAAAATGTTATAAAATAAAACCAGCAGTCAAAATAGACAAACATAAAGCATCTGGCATCAGCCCTCAAATTCCCTCCAGAAAAGCTCATTTTGAGAAGTTTCTGGAAGGTGACCAGAATTGGGGCTAGCTCTTTGTGTTAAAAGTTGCTGGAACAACATTTGTTAATGTCCCCATTAACTGAGTTCCATTGTCAAGGGCAACATCTCTTTCTAAATCCTTGGTTCCATAGTAGTGAATGTCAGCATGAGCATATTGAATTGGTGGATTACTTTGCCCAGTCTATTTTTTTAATTGCAGACCCACACAGATATAAAGAATAGCTGATAGGCTGTCTAATGCTTTCTACTCAGTGGTTCAGATTATGCAGGCATATAAATACAGCATCTGTTTCCAACTCATTCAGACAGTCTGCTTTAATGAGTTGCAGACAACTGGCAAGTGTGTGTTTCTATATATTCCAAATTATTTATTCCATGATCAATCTTTTGTCTGGTAAGGTTGGGATATTCTGTAATGTTCCCATTTCAGTTGCAATGTTCACTGAAAGCAGCAATGATCAGTGTTCCTCTTTGGAGTGAATGGAAAGGATGCTTTGTTATCCCCTAATAAGTATGCAAGTACCTGGACACATCTCTGTAACAATGTAGTGGTTTTATATGTTAAATCTGAAAGTTTCTAATCCGCATTCAGTAACATTCCTTTTTGTGCAGCTTGAATGTATGCAGGACTACAGATTTTGAAGTCATGGGTGTAGTGGGCACTGTTTAATTTCAAATAAAACCTTTTTACGGTATATTAAATGAGCCCTTCAACCCTTTTATATTTAATGAGCCCTCCACATTGGGGGAAGGAGTAATATTGTGTGCACAGCTGAGAAAGATGAAGGAATGTTTTGCTCTTAGTAACAGAAGGTTACACAAGGGAGAATTCAACATTTTGCAAATGTGCAGGACGTGTCCCAAAGGACAACCACCAGGAAGTATTTGATTTTTATTTTGGATACATTTTTATTTTGGATATCTCTTAGAATAGAATGGATTGAAACAGAGAGAGAACTATATGCAACACCATGTTCTTACAACTCCTCCTTTGGGGTCAATTCCTGTCCCTCCTCCCAGTACACTCACTGCCAAATCTTATATACCAAGAATGGGAAACTTGTGTGGTTCCATATGTTGCTGAACTAAATTCTTTACATCTTTCCCTATTGGTTTGGGGCTGCTAGTAGATGTAGTTGAGCCAACATATTTTCTACGCAAATGCATCCCAAGGCAGTCCATCCAGACCTTCTTTGTTATAGGGCTCCTTATCCTTATTCTGAATACAAACTATGTT